CGGTCAGTCCGGTAAACGGTGAAATGGTTAGGAAACAGATTGTGATCGTAGCTCAGGTAGCTGAACCATGTCTCGGAAAGTCAAATTATGTCGAATTTGGAGAGGCACACGTTGTCATAAAATTCAAGTTGTTTGGTCCTGAAACCTCTAACATTTTGATAGTAAATACCAAGACAGCACCGAAATTCGCATGTGACATTGCCGAACCACTCGTGCTCGCATCACTGAAAGAGGCCATGTTTATGTGGATGTCGAGCTCCCTCCGTTAGCCCCATCGTTACCCGCTGGATTTGTTGCAGTTTTAACAGCAGCAGCGGGAGCTGCAGCTTCAGGTGTGCTGGGGGTAAATATCTAGTCCGCGGTACGTTTACCATAATTTAGAGCAATTAAGCAAACAGAAGGCCTGACACCAGTGCTATTTATTAGAGCAAATTCGTCTTCCAATACAGAAATATGAAAGGAAGAGTACGAGTTGAATTTAGTTTGTTTCTGGTGCAGACCAACTGTTTTAGACTCAATTGCTCCTTCAATGATTTGTGTACATCATCAGCAGTAACCTCGGGGCTAAACCGAGAGACAAATAGTGCCTTAGATCTTTCAGCTTTTTTGACGACTGGCAAGGATTGCCAGCTACTAATCTCGATGATGGTCTTTCCACGAAGGTTAACCTTGTTGACAAGGGCACTTTCAGCAGGAGTGGTGGTAGAGGTTGCGGTGGAGGTGGTGGTCCTATTTCTGTACCTAACGGTTTTAAATAAGTCAGAATGAGGAGGCACTGTAGGCCCAGAGGGTGAAACCCCAACGATGGCAACATCCCTGTAGTACGTGCTCGTCCCAGCAGGTACAGCAGGCGAGGTCTGAGTAGGGAGGGCAGCTGGAGGCATACGCTGGTTGCTGGTCGCTGGGATATTTCACTCTATCGTGCCGTCTCATATAGTCCAACAGATATCTTTTATTTGTGAATATTCTTCTGCAGCACGGCTTCTTGCACACGTGTTCCTAGAGACAAAGAGCAAATGTATGTATATTTGTGGTAAAGTTATTCATGCATGTTCCAGTACTTGCGTAATGTATTCAGTAATTATTATCTCGGTCGCATAATTCGTCTAAATTTTCACCACGTCCGCTACGTACCTTTTTATCTCAGTGTCTGATTTAACTTATCTCTGAATACCTCTACTGAGTGGTACAATTTTCTGTTCCGAAACGTCACTACATTTTTCTCTCTATGCTTGGACGTAATCAGAAAATATTTAGGAAATTTACATAAATTATATTAATTCAATGTACAGTTAAAGAAAATTTCTCACAAAACACATAGTGGCAGTATCCTAATATTATATAATGTTATATTCCTTGATGGCCACGATTCTCATAATTGGAAAATTTTACTTAGTTTATATCTATTTTATGTCTAAATTTTACTACACGGGATATTAGAAACTGTTAGAAGTTTCTCATTTCTATTATTGTTTTATTATTATTATTAATATATCCATCACCAAGAAAACCAAGGTACTGATCTACGATTATAAACGTGTTCAATCCTCTATAATACGGACCGATGTTATAAAAATTGTGGAAGTGCTTATTATGCTAATCTTCATTTCCTTTATAATTTCGATTATATTGTTTATCTAATTCTGTATTTAAGCATCACGTTGCAAGCAATATTATAACGTCAATAACATAACAATTTTTTCCGGCCTAGGTTTTAATCTTAAAGTGTCTTTTATATGAATACTGCTAAACTGCATAAATATGTTCTAAAGTCACACGTTGTGGTGCACTTAATAATATAAAATCAAATAAAATAACCTGAAGATGGCTTTCTAAGTTCGACACATGTTGTGTTAAATTATAAGTGAAAGAAGAATGTACATATATTTGTGTTATTGACGGAATGTGTTATACACAGACGTGTTATATTTTTTCTCATTTGTCAGACCATTGAGTCTAAGTCGTACCAGTACTTTCAATTACTCATCTCTGGAATATGTGCTTGGAATATATGCTCAGAGTGTACAGAGCATTAATTAAATATAAACTTAAATATAGGTCCTCAGTATTTAATTCAATTAAGTCAAGTGATGTCAAAAAGCTTGAATGTATCCAGCAGAGGTTTTCGGTTGTCTGTTTTAATAGTTTCTTTCATGATGTCCAATACTGTTATCTCTCTCTCTGGAGTAGTTAAAATTACACACTCCACATATTAGGAAGAATCGCAACCATGCTCTCTTTATTACTCAAGTTTATTCTTGTTTCAAATTTTGAACTTCCCCTTTAGAAGTTGTTGATCTCCGAGTCGATAAATAAGGGACTTTGCATTGAATAGTAAAATTTAAAAATTGCTTTAGCCCGGCATATACAATTCTACACGAGGCTTTGTGAATGCCGATTAGGATTGCAACCCACTCGCCTGTAAATTTTGATGAGTGTGGAATGTAGGAAGACACATTTACGGAGACCGGCACTCATATATTTCCTTATACTTTACAAACAACATACATCACGACAATTAGTTAGTTGTCCTATGACATTTACAAGAACTGTAAAAACACCTCGATAATAATTCGTAACGCAACAAAGAAACATCTCAATCCAATATGGCATTCCTAGGATAGAGACATAGAAATAAAAATCCGATCTACACGAATAATAATAGTTCTGCAGAACAGGATCATTTTAAATGTTGCTCATTCGGAAATCTCAAGTTATATTGAATTCCTGTTCCTGACAAGTACTTATATGAAGAGACTTATCCGACTTTAACTGCCCTTATAAGTAACGACAGCTCTATGGAAACCGTGGAGAGATAAACATGTTTGTTGTTGAGATCCATGGATAAATTGAATGGAACATACATATTGCTCTTTTTAGAGATGTCCCACTTCTTGCTCTTACCAGATCCTGACTTCATTTTCTTCTATGAATCTTACCTGTCGACTATGAATTATTATGTGTTTTCTGAGATTTCCTGTTTCTGAGAAGCACTTTTTACAAATGCCGCATTCAAATGTCTTCTCTCTGGTGTGGGTTTTATTATGTCGTTTAAGGTGGTGTGAGGTTGTGAATGCCTTCCCACATTCTGGAAAATTACAAGCATACGACTTCANCACGCTCCATCGTGACGGCGCATATGGTTCATCAGATATCTTCTATTTGTGAATTTTTTTCCGCAGCCCGGCTTCATGCACACGTGTTCCTGGGGATAAAGTTCAAATGTATGAATATTTGTGATAAGGTTATTCATGCGTTTGTGAGCAATGTTCCAGTACTTGCGTAATGTATTCAGTAATTATTATCTCGGTCGCATAATTCGTCTAAATTTTCACCACGTCGGCTACGTACCTTTCTATCTCAATGTCTGATTTAAGTTATCTCTGAATACCTCTACTGAGTGGTACAATTTTCTGTTCCGAAACGTCACTCCATTTTTCTCTCTATGCTAGGACGTAGTCAGGAACCAGTTAGGAAATTTAGATAAATTGTGTGAATTCAATAGACAGTTAAACAACATTTCTCACAGGAGACATAGTGGCAGTATCCTAATATTACATATAGTGTTAAATTCCTTGATTGGCACGATTCTCATATTTTGAAAATTGTTTCTACGTTTATAACTATTTTATATAAAATTTTTGCTACATGAAATATAAGAAATTGTTTTAAATTCTCATTATTTTTATCGTTTTATTATTAATATTAATAACATATCCATCACCAAGAAGACCAAGTTACGGATCTGCGTTTATAAATCTGTTCAATCCTTTATAATCCGGACAGTTGCTATAAAAATCCTCATATCTAATCTTCATTTCTATGATAATTTCGATTATATTTTTTCCGTAATCCTGTATTTAAGCATCACGTTGCAAGCCATATTATAACGTCAATAACACAACAAATTATTCCGCTTTCTTCTTCGTATACTTTAACACAACAAGTTTCTGCCCTAGATGGTCATTTTTAGGTGTCTTATTAATGAAATCTGTTAAATTGCATAAATATGCTCTAAATTCACAGGCTGTGGTGAACTTAAAAATGTAAAATGAAATAAAATAACCTGAAGATGGCATTGTAAGTTCGAAACATGTTGAGGTACATTATAAGTGGAAGAAAAATGTACATATTTCTGCGTTATTGACGGAATGTGTTATACAGAGACGTGTTATATTTTTTCTCATTTGTTAAACTCTTGTGTCTAGGTCGTACCAGTACTTTCAATTTCTCTTCTCTAGAACGTATGCTCAGCGTGTAGAATGAATTAATTAAATCTAGACTTGAATATAGTTTCTTAGTATTTAATTCAATTAAGTCGAGTGATGTCAAGAAGCTTGAATGTACCCAGCAGAGGTTTGCCGTCCTCTGTTTTAATAGTTTCTTCCCCTGAACTCCATTACTGTTATCTCTCTCTCTGGAGGAGTTAAAATTACACACTCTACATATTAGGAAGCATCGCGACCATGCTCTCTTTATTACTCGAATTTATTTTAGTTTCAAATTCTGAAATTCCCCTTTAGAAGTTGTTGATCTCCGAGTTCCTGCCCGATATAAAAGTGATTTTGCATTGAATATTAAAAAATAAATATTGCTCTACTCCAGAACATACAATCCTACACGAGGTTTTGTAAATCCGGATTAGGATTTCAACCTACTCGACTGTAAATTTCGATGAGTGTAGAATGTAGGAAAACACATTTACAGAGACCTGCACTCATATACTTCCTTATACTTTACAAACACCATACATCACGACACTTAATCAGTTGTCCTATGACATTTACAAGAACTGTAAAAACACCTCGATAATAATTCGTAACGCAACAAAGAAACATCTCAATCCAATATGGCATTCCTAGGATAGAGACATAGAAATAAAAATCGATCTACACGAATAATAATAGTTCTGCAGAACAGGATCAATTTAAATGTTGTTCATTTTGAAATCTCAAGTTATATTCAATTCCTGCTCCTGACAAGTACTTATATGAAGGGACTTATCCGACTTTTTTTCCCGTTGGCACCACAGCCCCAGTGGGGCTAGGTCTACCTCCATGACCTCCGTTCACGTCGGTTTTTCTAGATCTTACACATACGGTAGGACTCCTTGGGCAAGTGATCTTGTCGTCGCAAGGCCTCTACCTGTAGACAAACACAGAAAAACGCACACAAACATCCATGCCCTCAGTAGGATTCGAACCCACGATCCCAGTTTCCAAGCGCACGAGGACAGTACATGCCTTAAACCGCTCGGCTACCGTGACCAGCCTTATCCGACTTTAACTGCCCTTATAATTAACGACAGCTCTATGGAAACCGTGGAGAGATAAACTTGTTTGTTGTTGAGATCAATGGATAAATTAATTGTAACATGCACATTGCTCATTTAGAGATGTCCCACTTCTTGCTCTCACCAGATCCTGACTTCACTTTCTTCTACGAAACTTACCTCTCGAGTATGAATATTCATGTCTTTTCTGAGATTTCTTGTTTCGGAGAAGCACTTTTTACAAATGCCTCATTCAAATGGCTTTTCTCCGGTGTGGGTTTTATTATGTCGCTTCAGCTGGTATGAGGTGCTGAATGCCTTCCCACATTCTGGAAAATTACAAGCATACGACTTCGCTCCATCGTGACGGCGCATATGGTTCATCAGATATCTTCTATTTGTGAATTTTTTTTCCGCAGCCCGGCTTCTTGCACACGTGTTCCTGGAGACAAAGTTCAAATGTATGAATATTTGTGATAAGGTTATTCATGCGTTTGTGAGCAATGTTCCAGTACTTGCGTAATGTATTCAGTAATTATTATCTCGGTCGCATAATTCGTCTAAATTTTCACCACGTCGGCTACGTACCTTTCTATCTCAATGTCTGATTTAAGTTATCTCTGAATACCTCTACTGAGTGGTACAATTTTCTGTTCCGAAACGTCACTCCATTTTTCTCTCTATGCTTGGACGTAATCAGAATGTATTTAGGAAATTTACATAAATTATATGAATTCAATGGACAGTTAAACAAAATTTCTCACAAAACACATAGTGGCAGTATCCTAATATAATATAATGTTATATTCCTTAATGGGCACGATTCTCATATTTTGAAAATTGTTTCTAAGTTTATAACTATTTTATGTCTAAATTTTACAGCATATGATATAAGAAACTGTTCTTATTTCTCATTATTATTATTATTATTATTAATATTAATAATATATCCATCACCAAGTGAACCACAGTACTGATCTACGATTATAAACGTGTTTATCCTCTACAATGCGGACCGTTGCTATAAAAATTGTGGAAGTGCTTATTATGTTAATCTTCATTTCTATGATAATTTCGATTATATTTTTTATCTAATTCTGTATTTAAGCGTCCTGTAGTAAGCCATATTATAACGTCAATAACACAACAAATTATTCCACTTTCTTCCATGTATACTTTAACACAACTAGTTTCGGTCCTTGATGGTCATCTTCTCGGTGTCTTTATATATGAAAACTGTTAACATGCATTAATATGCTCTAAAATCACAAGTTGTGGTGCACTTAATAATGTAAAATAGAATAAAATAACCTGAAGATTTTATTCTAAGTTCGAAACATGTTGAGGTAAATTATAAGTGGAAGAAAAATGTACATATTTCTGCGTTATTGACGGATTGTTTTATACACAGACGTGTTATATTTTTTCTCATTTGTTAAACTCTTGAGTCTGGGTCGTATCAGTATTTTCAATTTCTCATCTCTAGAATGTATGCTCAGATTGTACAGCGCATTAAATGAATCTAGACTTGAATATGCGTCCTTAGTCTTTAGTTGAATTAAGTCGATTGATGTCAAGAAGCGTGAATGTATCCAGCTGAGGTTTGCCGTCCTCTGTTTTAATAGTTTTTTCCCCTGAAGTCCATTACTGTTATCTCTCTCTCTGGAATAGTTAAAATTACACACTTTACATATTAGGAGGCATCGCATCCATGTTCTCTTTATTATTCAAGTTTATTCTTGTTTCAAATTCTGAACTTCCCATTTAGAAGTTGTTGGTCTCCGAGTTCCTGCCCGATATGCGAGTGTCGTACTGAAAGTCATGAGCCACAATTTATTGTAAATTAACTTGCTTTATTATTGACAAACCAAATACACCGCCTCAATCTACGGACTTTTTTTTATCTTTCCGCACAATCCCCACTTCTTAACAGAGTGTAAATATTAATTGGGGTATGGACCGGTGCTACACAGGCAAGCACGCACACACACACGCGCGCATATATATATACGGAATTAATTAAAAACAACTATAGTTTTGTTATGACAGACTATTAAATTGACACACACACACACATCCGACAATACAACGCTCGCAGCCAAAACGGAAGAAACATCACAGACACAGTAAGTACTAAACATTACAACACAACACATAACAGATAGAAGTCGAAAGTAATAATAATAAGTACCATTTTCGAATTGCAGGTACACACAGAAACGACTCCCATGGTGGACCAACCATACTATACGCGAGTTTGAATTAAGAAATATAGATGAATAATTATTCATCTATATTTCTTAATTCAAACTTGTTAATTCAAATTTGTTAAGATTATAATCTTAACAAATTTTAGTATATACAAATTTTATTATAGTTGACGAATTATGTACTTTCTAAATAATTTTATGAAAGACACAAGATGGGAAACAATTTAATATATTAGTGTAAATAACGAACCTGAAAATGGGACTAAGTTGCCGAAACATGTAGTAAGAAGTAACATATAAAATGGAGTGCACTACAAGACGGCCATTACATATTGTAACGTGTCGACAATCCAGAAGAGTCACTTCTGTGGAAACGCCAGAATAGACCGTTGCATAATAAACAACAATCGCTCTATTGTAGTTCCAACACCGAATCTCCACGGTTACGACGAATACGCGAAGCGTTCCCACAGTGACAATGCGATAACAATGGGTCATTGCGTAGGAAACGCGGAACCAACAGAGCAACGTTTCCACTGCTATAAAAGAGGATTCATTTGCCTAGCAGCGGCCAAGGTTATAAATAGCCCGGCTTCGACGAGAAGCAGTCAGTCCTGGGATAGTCGTCTAAGAAGTCAGTCCAAGAATAACCGCCAGAGAAGAGAGTCCAGCATCGCCGAGATATTGCAAGCAGTATTTGTGACACTGCAAGTGGTAATGATTGTAAAGAGTGTGAGTGTATAAGTAAAGATCAATAAAGGTTCTACGGAATCTGAGACCCACGAAGTTTATTTGTAGCGTGACACACACAAAACACGCTACAATATATATCATGTGATGGAAATATAATCATATTTGTTGCTGCAAAAAATTATTTTATAAGTTGCAGGTAACAATTGTCTTCATTCAGAAATTCAACAGTGTATTGTAAATACGTTACAAACTATTTATCTCCTGTATACTTGCCTGTGTACCGTGGATCTTCATATGCCTGTCGAGATTTCTAGATGTAGTGAAGTTCGTGTGACAAGTTTCACACAAATAAGTCTTCTCTCCGGTGTGAGTGCTCATGTGAGTCTGCAAGAGAGAATGTTTCTCGAACCGCATCTTTCAGTCCGTCCATGTGCAAACATAACCCTTACGTTCCTTGTGCCAGCCTATGTGCGTTCTCAGTTGGGAAAGCAAGTTGAACTGTAGCCCACACCCCGGGTCATAGCACTTGTAGCGGGGACGTGCTGGTGTCCTCTGTACACAGACAGCAGAATCTTTCACATTAGAAGAAAGGTGAATCATATGTTACATATTGCTGAATTCCTAGAAATCAGAACACTGGGTAATTTCGCCCGTTGATCCGATCCTAGTTTACGATTGAAATGTGGACTTATAAAATGTTACAAATCGTAAGAAAAATTATGCGTGACGCTGTCGCTATCTCGTGCACTAGACTTTCACACTACAATACACGCGATATCTTCTATGTCAATAAGACTGGTTGCTTGGTAACGGACCCCAACATTATTTTTTCCTGCTTCATAACGGCTGACAACTGTCTTGACAACCAACTGACTCGACTTTCTACCCTCAGGTCACTGCAGGTTGTCAAGATCGAATCCTTTTATTCCTTTGTGTAATCTTGGCATAAACAACATAAATAACAGCTCCAAATTATGCTCTTCATGTTGCTTGTTTATTCGCTAAAATTTGGACGCGTTAATCTAGTCGTTACATAGAAATGAATGTGTCATGTCACGAACTAATTTCCAATATATATACACACACACACACACACACGAGTATTCCTAATCTTAGCAAAAGTGAAATTATGCTCTGAGTAATGAGTTGTAGACAGAAAGTTGTGTGGAAGGAAGCGAAAATTGTATGCTTAATATTATTGACCCTGTGTTTGCTGTAATGACTGAAGAATTCGTTGAACACCACCAGCCTTTATGACTTCCATGTTAAAGAATATTTGAAGGGACAAATCTGAAACACAAAGCAGCTGCAAGGTTCACTGAAACTCATCTCGGATGGGGGAAGACGGAAAATGAATACATTCATTACTGCAGCGCTGTATGGTATTGGTTATGGATACATTTACGCTCTAATTTAGTTTCTTATAACGTTTCCAGTATTAAAAGAAAGATGACCCATTCTCTGGGAAGTGAGTATTTAAAGGAGATCGGTGTGGTATTCTAAAGAATAAATGGATACCGGATCTGGGGAGCCACCTGTCTCAAGGCCAATGCATCCGAGAGAGAAATTTCTAAAGACGTAAGATGGCGAAGAGAGTACCTGAAATATCTCGTTCTTCTGATGGAAATAAGAACATGAGTGGATCTCTGCCGCTACTCCTCCATACATGTCCATGATGAGCAGCTTAAAGGAAAGTGCATCTCCGTACATTTAATGGTGCGCCATTGTCCTCCTGTGATTCAGGCGGAGACATTTAAGGTGATAGCTGGAAATTGCGGGCACCTGGCAAATGGAGGAATGAAGACACCATCTCCCGAGGGATATTATCGCTGTAATGTTTTGTACTCACAGCCGTGTTCCTACTGCCACTTTTAATCTCTGGTGCTGTTGGGTCGTGCATAATTTGTATATATTATTGTATGCATATTAATGTGTGTAGTTTATTAAATGATATGATTTGAGGGAGTCTACACAAAAATAATAAGTTCAGAATACAATAAGCCTGAATTGGCCTCAGTACACGGGACTAACTACCACCCCCGTAGCAAAAAAAAAGTGATAGTCCCACTTATGAGAGGTGTCAAGAAGAAAATGAAACAGCCACACATATCCTGTGCGAATGTGAGACCTTTGCTTATTTAAGATTTCGTCACTTGGGTCAGTACTTGTTGTACCCTGATATGGGGCATGGACTGTACTCACCCCCTACCGGACGTCCGTGGATATCTCTTAACCTACGTTGTGGAAAGCATGCTGCACTGGGAGGGTCACAAAAACTCGAGTTATCCAAACAACAACAAAAATGAAATATATATAATAAAATTGAAACACTTATACACCTTTACCGTCTAAAACACATTAAACCACCAAAATAATGTACCCAAAAGTTCTACTGAACCATCAGTGACCCGACCACAGACAAGTACTCACCCGCGCTAAACATGAAGCACAGGAAGAGCAATGGCGCCATCCCCAGGTCTTCCGCAGGCACACTTTGCTTTTTCTCGTTCGTTTCTGGCAACTGCTAGAAACAGAGTGCCTGAAACGGCCTCTTTTCTCAATCCCAAGATTCAGCTTTTTTTCAATTGCGAAAGTTGCGCGTGCGAAATCCCTGAGGTCGGCATCTTGCCGGACATGCCTTGTCGCGCTAAGCGAAACCTGACCGGGTCTTTCCACTGATGCCTAAACAGTCTTTTCTAAAAACAATTCGCTCGACTGCCAAGGAATGCGAAGAGTCAGCCGCGGTTCTGTCTCCTTGCCTTCCGGCCAGCCGTCTAACATTTCACCCTAAACACACAATCTTACAGAACTAATGAAATGGGCTCAACTGTATATACCAGGTTTTGAAAGGTTTCAAAGAATTCATAAAACTTTTACCAAGAATTATT